GCCTACTTTGAGCTCCAGTTCGGTTTGCAACTGAGTTATGCAGAATGAGGTTCCGTTCATGTTCAAGTGCCACACGGTTTAGTGCCTGATTAGTGCTTTTTTTTTAAGATAATGGAACTTTTGAGCTGTTGTGGTTGCAATTTGGTTGAAAACTGGGTTTGTAACTCGTAGAGTTGATCCATCCTGATATCTGGTCTCCCAGCTCCTGGTAATGGTAATGTTAGGAGTGATCTTTCCGAGAGAAAATGTTTTGGTGGATTGAAACGAATTTGCCTTAGAAGTTGGTTAGTGATCAGCGGATGATTGGATGATGTCACACTATTGGGACTAGTTTCCTCACATGGTGAGGATGCTAGACATGGAGTGGTGACTTTGGGTGGATTCATAGAGATGACTTTGACAAAATTCTTGGTAGCAATATGTGCCTTTTGCAGCCGTGCTGATCCCATGCAAGATATTGCATATCTTGCTGACTTGTAGTTCTACAAGTAAACCTGGATATTTTCTCCTGGCGTAGATGATGTTGATAGGATTGGCGAATCAGTTATCATGTTGTTTTGTAGTGGCCTATCATTTATGAATACATCAGATGCTTGCATTTCATCTGTTCTCTGGACTGGGACTCGTGACTACTGATGGTCACAACACAAACAATGATTTGTTTTTCTGTGAATGTTTGGAGCCATGCATGCATTGTACATAAGATGAGCACAGAAGTTATGTCTTCATGCCAATATATTTCTCAATATAAATTTCATAAAATAAAGTATCTTTTGCAATTTCAATATTTCATACATCGTTTTCACTGGTTAAATATAGTCAATGCTTTATATTATTTTGGTGTTGTTTTGCAGGTGTGTGTGGAAACAATGATGCACCTGACATGCACCAATATGCCAGTTGAGAAGATTGATGATGCCTTAACAACAATAAAGTCTAATGGGATTCAAAATGTTCTGGCTCTTAGGGGTGATCCTCCACATGGTCAGGACAAATTTGTTCAAGTTGCTGGTGGATTCGCTTGTGCTCTTGATTTGGTAAATATCTCTTCGATTAGTTATGATAGAAAGGCCAGGATATGGTGGCGAGCTGATTGGTGCTGCCAATATTTAGGATTATGTATATAAAAACCATTTATTTGCTGAGAGAAATCACCACTATATTCAAACCTGCGTTCTATTCTCCAATTGCAGGTACAACACATTAGAGCCAAGTATGGTGATTATTTTGGTATTACTGTTGCTGGTTATCCAGGTTAGCAAAACGTTTCTGCTTTATACAGTGATATTAAACCTTAAAAATTAGAAGCTTTATTTATTTATTTTTGTTTCAAACGTCAGAGGCCCACCCGGATGCAATACAAAGTACGGAAGGGGCTACACCAGAAGCATACAGCAATGATCTTGCTTATTTGAAGCAAAAGGTTCTCTTTGATCACATGATAATGACTTTTTCCATTCAAATGAGAACATCTTCTGTTGTATTAATTAATCACCTGGACATTGTCTAGCATAAGATCTTATTTCGGAATTATGTAAAACTGTTAGAAAACATAGGTGTTTGTTTAGCGTACCTTTGTTCTTTGTCAGCTTCTTATCGAATGCACACTTTCACTGCAGGTTGATGCTGGTGCTGACCTTATCATTACACAGCTTTTCTATGACACTGATATCTTTCTCAAGTTTGTGAATGACTGCCGCCAAATTGGCATAACTTGCCCCATTGTTCCTGGCATAATGCCTATAAATAACTACAAAGGTTTCCTGCGCATGACAGGGTTCTGCAAAACTAAGGTATAGCCTGTTTCTGTAGCTCCATGATTAGTAATTGCATGGAGATAGTTCAAATGGACATGGATTTATGTATAAGCTTCAATGTGCTGTACATTGTTTCCCACAGAATGCCACTGAAAATTTTGAATTTAATAACAGATACCAGCTGAGATCACTGCTGCACTGGAACCTATTAAAGATAACGAGGAGGCGGTCAAAGCATATGGAATCCACCTTGGTACTGAAATGTGCAAGAAAATTTTAGCTACTGGAATCAAGACCTTGCACCTTTACACGCTAAACATGGAGAAGTCTGCTCTAGGAATATTGATGGTAATTTCCACATCTTACTTGATGCAGTATTTTGGTCTGGTGCATTTCTAACAAGTAAAATTTATCCAGAACCTTGGATTAATTGAGGAGTCCAAGATCTCAAGGTCATTGCCTTGGAGGCCCCCAACAAATGTTTTCCGTGTCAAGGAGGATGTCCGCCCTATATTCTGGTAGTTGTTTAAAAAAAATATTTGTCAAGGTAATTGAATCTTATTGTTATAAACACTCATTCAATCTGGTGAATGATGATAACTGAGCAGGGCTAACAGACCAAAGAGCTATATTTCAAGGACCCTTGGTTGGGATCAATACCCACATGGGCGGTGGGGTGATTCCCGGAACCCATCGTATGGAGCACTTACTGACTACCAGGTTACTTCCATGCCCCTCTGTTCCAATTACAAATTTGGTGTTCTCAACCATTTTTTCCCGATATGCTGTCTGCAGTATTTTGAAACACACTAAAAGTTACATTTATCTATTATAAACTATAAAGTGAACTCTTACATATGATTTAGCAACGTCAGTACCTCTGTGTACTGGTACTTGGTAATTGTCGAATACTTGAATGTGGGATTGTGCAACATCAGTTGTCGGGCATGTCTATTATTTGTCTCCATATTACATAGAATTGTTCTTTTGTGATAACAAGTTAAGAAATTTTCACAAAGTTGTTGCTGTGTGTAGTAACGCGTTCCTTCTTATTATTTTACAGTTCACTCGACCACGTGGGAGGGGTAAGAAGCTCCAAGAGGAATGGGCGGTTCCAGTGAAATCTGTTGAAGACATTAACGAGGTAACTGCTGGGCTGCTTGATATATTATATATCTTTATTATGTATAGATAAATACGAGTGTATCATTTTTTTTTTGCTAACCAATTTCTGTCACACAGCGATTCATGAACTTCTGTCAAGGAAAACTTACAAGCAGCCCATGGTCTGAGCTTGATGGCCTTCAACCTGAGACAAAGATAATAGACGACCAATTGGTGAAGATTAACCAGAAGGGCTTCCTTACCATTAACAGCCAACCTGCTGTTAATGGAGAGAGATCTGATTCAACAAGTGTTGGTATGTTCAATCTATTTCTTATGTTTGTTCTTCCTTTTGTTACTGGAAGCAGGATCTTTAAGCATGTGCATGTTTCTGCCATGGCGCTCTTATACAGTGGTAGTACTTAAAATGCCAGTAGTTCATGTGTCGATTGTATCTGAAATTGAGAATTATTATGATGTTTCATGTTTGTAGTGGGCATGAAGATTTTAAACCTTATTTGTAGCTTTACTAGTGACATTTAATTATGAAATGTTCACTGGCATGTTTAATCATATGCCCCTCCCTTATTATAATAAACCTGAAATCAACATCGCCATAATGTCTGGGTTCACTACAATCGACACATTAGCTATTTGCTATTCCACTGTTTAAGGTGCAAACTTCAACTTGTTCATTAATGTCTGGTTTTATGTATAATGCTATATGGGCGTGCCTTGCCAACCTGCTTACTGGTATCCTACTGTGCAGGATGGGGTGGTCCTGGAGGCTATGTTTACCAGAAGGCCTATCTTGAGTTCTTCTGTTCAAAAGAGAAGCTGGATCAGCTAATTGAGAAGAGCAAGGCATTCCCTTCTCTTACATACATTGCCGTGAACAAGGACGGAGAGTCATTCTCAAACATTCCCACAAACGCTGTGAATGCGGTCACATGGGGTGTTTTCCCTGGCAAGGAAATAGTCCAGCCAACTGTCGTTGACTCAGCCAGCTTTATGGTTTGGAAAGACGAAGCTTTCGAAATTTGGTCAAAGGGTTGGGCTTGCCTGTTCCCTGAGGGCGACTCATCTAGGGAGATACTAGACAAGGTAATTCGACACAAACCTTAGCGTTGAACCTAATATTTTGTCGTAGATAAAATTGAACAGAACTTGTTGCACTGATCTGAATGCCACCTTTTCTCCTATCCTCCCAATTTCTCATAAGACTTGCATGTTAAATAGAGTGTTTTAGAAGGCATTCGTCTAAATTCTAAAATACCATTTGGCATGTTTTCCCCTTATCCCATGCCACTTGAACCACTGTATCAGCCGTGATAGGGTTGTGGCATTGTGCTACATTTCATTGTATACTCCCTGTATACTGAATGCATCACCTGACCTCACAAGCTTACACATTTCGCTGCTCTTCGCTTCTCAGGTCCAGAAGAGCTACTTCTTGGTTAGTCTTGTGGACAACGACTACATCAACGGTGATCTCTTCGCGGCGTTCAAGGAGATTTGATGACATCTTATAGTCTGCAACCTCTCGTGTCTGAATTCCTATCTTTATCAAGTGTTATTGCTTCCACGACTATAGGACAGCTTTCGTCGAAAGCTTTTGCTCATGTGATCTCGAAGGATTCATCTAGTCTGATTTTTCGTGACTTGTATCGGTTTTATTGGATTCATCCAACATATATCAATAAAAAATGAGTTGTGTTTCCTTTCTTCCTAGTTCAGTTAAAATTATTTCCCTCCTGCGCTTGTGCTGTAATTGTCTGTGTACCTGTTGTTTGTGACTGTGTTAGTTCCCTTGGATATGATTTCGTATTTGATATGTACATGGAGATAGCTTAGCTTCATTATTGGAGTATGAAGTTAGTATGACATAGTCACTCTCCTGGAAAATTGACACTGCAAACCATATTTTTATTCTGAACCACAAATCCTAGTCAGTCCGCTGGCATATGCCGTCCGTTTGCTGAATCCAGAACGTGGGTTTGGAGATGTACGGCTGAGATGCCTCTATGCGAAGGGGATTTCGTGGTGAAACGAGATGGGAGTAGAGCAACGCCCGTGGAAGATGCTTCAAACTTCCACACTTTTGAGCAACGATCGGCAGTAGTAAGGTAGACGATTTCAAGATCAAAGCATATGAAGATAAACAACATCAACAACAAAATTTGTTGGGGTTCTATAGAGAGAAACAGAGCTACATACATACACTGTTTTGTATCTACCATCTGAGATGATGAAAAGATGAAAAACTAAAGAATGCCCCGGCGCCAACGCCAGGACACGCCGCGCGCGCGTCACCCGAGCCATCTCTTGACCCAGCCGGCGCTGTATATTTACACACGTTGCAGCATCGATCACCACCTGTTCGATCGCGTCGCCGTCACCTCAGAACGGGACCATGCCCATGCCGGCGCCGGCGCGTGGCGTCGTCCCCTTCACCCGCGGCGACGCGAAGAGCGACGAGTAGAAGTCGTCGCCCGGCGGCAGCATGTCGAGGCCGCTGTACATGCCCTGGATATCGTCGTAGCTCAGGTCCACGAACAGGCTGCTGTTGTTCCTGGGGATGGTGGCGGCGGCGGCGGCGGCCGCGGTGGCGTCGTCCATCGATTCTTTCTTGGGCACCATCATCGCCGTCGCCGGCGGCGGCGCAGGCTGGAACGCCGGGAACGAGTCCAGCTCCGGGAAGGGGTCGTTGTCCACGATCTCCGACTCCGGCGTGCGCGTCTCGCCCCACGAGTGGGTGTGCGAGTGCGACTGCGACGTAACCATGTCGGACGCCTCCTCCTTCACCTCCTTCCCCTGCTGCATCTTCTCCCACTCGTTCTTCTTGTTGTACAGCCGACACAGCACCCAATCATCCAACTGCACAAACAATTCACACCAGATCAGATCAGACCACGATCCAATTATCGATCATCACTCCCACCGAATAATCTTCGATCGAAGCAAGGATCATTGCTAGTAATTCGGATGAATCTGAGCTAAGCTTACCCTGAGAGATCCCTTCTTGGCGCCCGCGGCGGCGCGGCCAGCATCGGCGAGCCGGTACTCATGCATGATCCAATCAGTCTTGACCCCTCGCGGCGCCTTGCCGGCGTAGAACACGAGCGCCTTCTTGATCCCAAGCGTGCGCCCCCGCGGCGCGACGGGCTTGTCGGCGCCGGTGGCCTTCCAGTACCCGTTGCCGGCGGCGCGGTTGGGGCGTGACCCATTAGGATACTTGCGATCCCGCGGGGTGAAGAAGTACCACTCCCTGGCGCCGAACAGCGCGCGCTCGGGCAGATCCCACGGGTCGAACTTGTAGAGATCCACCTCGGCGATGATCGGCACCGGCAGGCGCTGCCCCGCCGCCTTCCTGCACAGGTAGTGCTCCACCAGCTCGTCGTCCGTGGGGTGGAACCTGAACCCCGGCGGCAGGTTCAGCTCCGCCTCCGCGTCCCTCTCCCTCCTCATCCCCATCCCCATCGCTTCTTGCTTGCTTCTCGCTGCTGCTACTGCTTTGCGTTGTTTGAAAATGTTGTGGGTTGTGAGGGATTTCTCGAATGGGGAGAAATGGCGGGCGGAGGGGGGGATATATAGAGGGAGGTAGTCTGGAAGGTTCGGCGGCGGGGGGATGAGTCAAAGCGGAGTCGGCGGCTGCGGGAAGAAGAGGAGATGGGATGAAATGGGGCACGTGTGGTGGTGAGGTGGTGGGTTTCGAGGAAGGAGGCCACCTCCTGCGTCGGGGATTGGACCCGTGCGAGGATGGCGTCACGGCCGAGGTCAGCAGAATTGGGACAGCTCGGCGCCGCGGTCGGGTCGGCGGTGCGGGTGCGGGTGCGTGCGTTGCTGTGGACAGCCAGGCGCGGGGGGGTGAGGCGGCCACAGCGGCCGCCGCTAAATTTTGCCGTGGTTTTCGCGGTGGGGATGCAGCGGCGGCTGCAACTGCACGGACGTGTGGCCCGCGCGTCTTTTGTTACTGCTCCAAAAAGGCTGTACTACGTGTACTATACTAAATTATCTTAGGTTGCAAGTTGATTAGGAGTAGTATTTAGATGTCGGACAACGTCATGGGGTGGAGCGAAAAGGGGAAATTAGGACATCATCTTTTCGCTAATACTTATTATCAGTCAAAATTTAAATTTTTAATCTTAAATTTAAAGCTGATTTTAAGGTTTTTTTATCGAAATTTATCTTTCAACCGTTGCTTTTATATCACTATAAAAACACGCATATAAAAAATTTTATTTATAAACTATTTTGCGTTTGCAAATATGCCATGATGGGACCGAAAGTTGCTGTGGCAAAAAGGGGCATGTAAAATGAGGTGGATTTGAGATAAGCACGAGTACAAGAGCAGATAAGCATGAGTTTGGTCCCATGCGTTGTCGATTATGCGGCGTCATTTATCGTTTTCTATCCGTTCCAGTGTTGTAGTAGTAGTAGTACGACTAGTATGATTCAGTGAATGTGAGGCTCGTTGGGTGGTCACTGTTCCAGTAGGTACAAGTACGACTAAATTACTCTACTTACTCCGGTGATGGTCATCCGCATGTTTATAGCATTGCGCCGAGAGACGAGATTTCCCCCACGTTACTTGGAACCACCACTCTCATCATCGCCGATCGCATCATCGATCGAGCCTTTTCCTTCATCTCAGGAGTCAGGACAGAAAAAAAACCTCAAGGTACCGGCACCAGAAAAATCATCAAATCAAATCATATACTCGTATCATGCATGTTCGGCGTGCGTCGGGAAGATTCGGCCGCTACCTCAGCATCGCTTATCCCCTCCCATTATTCCACGACATATTCTAACGCATTCTCTTTTTTTTAGTTTTCTCTCCACTGTTGCTTTGGCGGGTAAGGAGTAGGAGCGCACACGTGGTGGCATGGGAGGGCGACCGAATCGTAACCGCCCGCCAGGCAGGCGGGAGACATGCGCGCGCGGTCGGTTTCGTCGCGGACCCGGCTCGACACGACGACGACGATGCGGATTGCGGATGCCGAGTCGCGTTGCGTGCGTGTGGGCGGGTGGGGCGATACGTGTCCCGCCCCGCGCCGCTCCGGCGGCCGCGGAGGACAACGGCTGCTGCTGCTGCAGCGGAAAAGCGAAAAGCGCGAGGAGTTTTTTTTTTTTTCTCTTCGGCTCGAGGCGCCGCGCGCACGAGGGGTGGAGTGAAGGAAGGGGACACGCGGTGGCTCATGGCGCGGGCGCGTGGCGTCGTGCTTCGCGTGGCGCGTGGTTTGGTTGGGTTTTGGTGTGGGCTGACCAGCTGCAGGCTGCAGCAGAGGAGGCGTCGGTTTCAGTCGCGACGGGGCGTGGCGTGGCGTGGCGTGCGTGCGTGCGTCCTGTCGCGTCTCACGGCCAACGAGCGACACTGTCTTTCGGTGATTGACGGAATGACGGGTGGCATGATGAAGAAGCCAAGGGAGGCTCGACGTCGTGCCGGCGATCGCATGTCAAGTTACCATGCGAGATGTGTGTGTGTTTTTGCTGGGACTGGGAGTCTGGGAGGTGAATTTTTTCCACGAGACTGCGCCACCGCGGCGGCGAGCTGTGCGTGCGAAATTTGCAAAGCACGTCATCCCCAGAAAGGCAGAAAACAAAAAAAAAGGTTATGTTTAGTTTTAAAGTTTGGATCCAAACTTCAGTCATTTTTCATTACATCAACTTGTCATATTCACACGACTTTTCAGTCACATCATCTTTAATTTCAACCAAAATACAAACTTTACGTTGAACTAAACATAGCCAAAGGCGGAGGAAGTAAAGTGTTGTAACGTGCGTGCTCGCAACAAAGGCCCAGGCGGTACGAGGTGCGCTGAACTGAAAAAAAATCTGAAATGAATCCGGACGGGACGCAGACGTGAACATCATGATGAGGTGAAGTGTCCAGCGGCGCGGGAGCTCGGGCGGCGTGCCACGCGGCGTGATCTGCGCCCTCTCTTGGAGACGACGGGTCGACGGCTCAGCGGCGCGTGCCGCTCCACGAGGTCACCAGGAGAAAATTGACATAGTCCGAGGTGGGTTCCGTCCAAATACCACTCCGCAAAATAGATACGATAAAATGCCACTATCAATATTGGTTAAACGCTAAAATACTATCTCGAACCAAATTACCCTCCTCTCATCTTCTTCCTCCCTCCATCACCATCAGCTCTCGTCGGCGGCCACCTTCCTTCAGCGTCATGGATGGAGGACGACAACGACGAGCAAGCGGGATTCGGTGGATGACGACGACGAGGTCACGAATCCGGCGTCGGCATCGACGAGTGAATGGATCTACCGACCAGCACCACCAATAAGCACGCGGCCCGCCGACCGCTGTCGATACCGACAAATGCGTAGGTCTGTCGGGTGCCTTCGCAGAGCATGGAGCAAAAGGCCTCCACGGCGGCGTGGATGGCATGGAGCGCGACCACAGAGTCGTCAGGTGGGGACGGTGGAGGCGGGGTGGAAGGGGAGCGGAGGTGGAGGTAGATGAGGCAGAGACGAGCCGGCAGGGCATCCATCCTGGTGTCTTTGTCAGAGGTGGAAGAAGGTAGCAACAGTGTATTTTTATCCGTTCGGATATTATAGCGTGTAGTCTTCGATTGAAAGTGGTATTTTTAGACGGGGGAAAATATGCCCATGGCTTGAAGAGACACGATGGAATAACTACCGGATTGATCACACATGAAGCACACAACACACGACTCAATACTAGAAAACGTAGCTGACACTTTTGTCCTTTCTAAAGGATAGTGAGCAGTATAAACCAGACGCTCAACATACCGTTCAGCATGCATCTACTTTTTCTGTTAAGAAAAATAACTCTATGTGGAGATGTGACATCACATAGAATGAATCTAGATATAAGGTTATCTAAATTTATTGTTCTAGATGATATCACATTTCTATTGGTATATTTAGGATATCATCTGGATTGGATTTTTTAGGACGGAGGGAGTAGTGTATATCGAGGCCTATCTAACCATAAATCAATCACGAAAAGGGTCAAAACCTTTATACTACTCTCTCCGTTTTAAGTTATGAGACGTTTTGACTTTGGTCAAAGTTAAACACTCTAAGTTTAACTAATTTTATAGAAAAAAGTAGTAATATTTAATATTTTAAACCCAAGATAAATATATTATGAAAATTTATTCAATTACAGATTTAATGAAACTATCCTGGTGTTGTAAATATTACTACTTTTTTCTACAAAATCATTCAAACTTAGAGTAGTTTGACTTCGATAAAAGTCAAAATGTCTTACAACCTAAAACGGAGTGAGTGCTAATTAAGTATTCAACCCTCCAGATATAACAAGCAGTGCAAAACTCTGTAGTACATGAAGGACAAAAATGTGGAGCTTAGATCATAATACTATTGATGAGGCCATCGAACAGCTTTAGTACTACCTCATGGTACAAGACTCCACCAGAAATTTATGCCTCCCTGGACTACATACGTACCCAAGTGTTAGTAACTAATAACCCACCAAAACTGGCATTGGAGTACTATGGTTTCACTGTCAAAGGGTAATGGGAACGACACAACAGAAGAGAGTGTTGGATTCCATGGCATCCCTCGATTTAATACGTATAAGCCAAGTAGAAGTACTCCTTAATCACAGTGGATTAAGATGTGTTCTGTTACCGGAGAGCCGCTTCTCTGGCGGCATCACGGGCCTCTTCATCTGGAAGGCATCAAGGGAAGCATCAACAATGGACTCGAGGCCTCTGCTTGACAGCTTCGACGTACATGAATATCCTGCAAACACACCAGAAACAAAAGGACGTGCAGAAGGTGACACGCACTTCAACACGAAATGTTAGCTGCCTCAGTAAAGCACGTCATCCCCAGAAAGGCAGAAAACACAACAAAAAAAAAAAAATCTGAAATGAATCCGGAGGAAGTAACGTGTTACGTGTAACGTGCCCAGGCGGTACGAGGTGCGCTGAACTGAAAAAAAAAAGAAAAAAAATCTGAAATGAATCCGGAGGCAGACGTGAAAATCGTGATGAGGTGAAGTGTCCAGCGGCGCGGGAGATCGTCCGACGCGCCACGCGGCGTGATCTGCGCCCTCTCTTGGAGGCGACGGCTCACTAAAGAGCAGGTATAATAGCAGGCTATAAGTCAGCTGCAAACATATTTTAAGCACATAAATAAGGAGAGAGAAGGGTAGCGGGCTACAGATTTGTAGCCAGCTGTAGCACGGACTCTAAGACGCAGTGTCTGTATGACAAGTGAGACCAGATATTAATAGTGTAGTATGTAACTATTGTATGAATGAACTATTAGATTGGCTATAGATGAATTGGAGCTAGTAGTTGGCTATACTATTAAACTTGCTCTAAGAGCAGGTACTACAATATCAATCTATAAGCCAGCTATTGTCACGACCGGAAATAACCCAACGGGCATTCCTTACGTGCGTGCATTAATCCTTGTCCCAGGAGGCAAGGTACACCAAAAGTTGATACAATTCAGAGTTTAACAAGCGGAAGCGTAAATAGATAACTTATTACATGGGCAACGAAGGCCCAGCACACACAGAGACAAACGAGAAACAGCGGAAGACTAGGGCGAC